TAGTGCTAATGCTAGCGCTAGTTTCTTCTTCGAGAGACTTGTCGGTCACGGGGTATTGTCTCGAGTCTCTACCTTGTCCCGGCTTTTTCTGCTGTATCCTAGGCATGTTATATGCCCCTACAACTAATTATACCAATTTACAATGTTATCTGACCAAGTAACTGGGGCTTTAGAAATTAGCTTGAAGGAGCTGCGGGATTAGCATGTTGCCTCCATGGCCGCTCAACCGGAAGTCCACCAGTCACATTTTGATGATACTTTTACTGAAGTAACATTTTAAATGCATAACTTTTACTTTGAATGGAGTATTTTTATATTCAGGTATTGCTATTTTTACTTAAAGGGACAGTTCACCCCAAAATCTAAAATACATATTTTTGTTTGACCTTGTAGTGCTGTTTCCACAAATCATGACCCAGTTACTCAAGATAACCCACAGCCCTTGTTGTGAGCAGTTTCACAAAGGACCTATATTCTTTCCACCAAACTACCCTCATCAACTGTATCACCGTGCAGGATGAAGAGTGCATCTACTGCTAGCTCACCTAGCACCACTAAGCTACCTAATGTTACAGCTCAGCCAAGAAGGACACCATTAATGTTTACAAATTGCGCTGTCATGAGCACAAACCTCTCATTGGTGAATAGATGCACGCTTCCTTCTGTGCAGTGATACAGTTGACGGGTGTAGTTTGGTAGAAAGAAAACAGTTCCTTAATAAAACTGCTCACGAGAAGGTCTATTGATTATCCTGAGTAACCATGTCATGATTTCTGGATAGAAACATTGCTGTTGAGTTTTTCATATGTATTTTTTTGGTGCTTTAAGCATCACAAGCTGAATGCTATCTAGTTCCATTATAGTGGAGAGAAAGCAGACATCTCTATGGCTGATATCTCCAACACTCGGCAACTCACACCAAAACAATCTAGACTGATAAATAGCACTACAGGTAAAGGGGAAAATATGTATTTTTGATTTTGGGGTGAACTGTACCTTTAAGTAAAATATCTAAATGCTTCTTCCACCAGTGCAGACTGAAGCAGATGAACAACAACAAAAAGAGAAGCACAAAGCGGTAGAGACTGTTTGCACATACACACATAGCTACATAATAACCAGATTAAGGCCATGCTTGAGTGTAAATGCCATAATTGAGTTGTCTTTGTGCAATTAATGTCAAAATTACAGCGAGCATGACAGACATATATTACTTAGATAATCTCCCAACAAACCTTAGTCTGGTTTCTGAGCTTTGCTTATGAAAATGTGCCACAAAGATCACATGGTCAAATCAAATGCAAAGTAGTGTTTCCCTATTTAAACAGAAGCAGGACTTGTGATGGTGGAGGAGAGAATATATGATTTTTGGTTTATTGGAAAACAGCTTTCATGTTTGTTGATCTGCTAATTCATCAACATAAAAATTATAACTTCCGATGAAGTTTCCTTGTCTTTCTTTATACCATTGTCTAATTTCCTTATTAGCCTGTAGGTTGCCAAACATGCTAGTGGATATGAAAATCACACACATAGTCATATACTGGTTTACCGAGAACCACATACACAATATAACCTGTTTATGTACAGTAATCAAATTATAATCTGCATGCAAACACGCTGAGTAAGAAATGCTGAAATAATAACAAAAGAGTGAAAGGGGATGGAAACATGTCAACATCCTTGAAAAAAAGATAAAGAGAACAAATAGAAAGCAGAGAACAGCAAAGAGTGAAACACATACATTTACTTGCAAACTTAACATTACCCCATTGCTAAAACCTAATCAGAAAGTATCTGCTGCAGAGCAGAAGGTGTAAAGCTGGCAGGCCTTCAGTGTACTTCTCAAGGCCATTTCAGCAGGGTGGATGCCTGCTGACGCAGTCATTTTAACCCTGAGCTGTCCTGTTAAAGGACAGTGCTCCTGAAGCACTGCTGGAAAGTTACTCAGTACATTTACCCAATTACTGTTCTTACCATAAGTCCAGTTTTGATTTGCAAGAATCACAAGAAGCATTGTAGTGGGGGAAACAGACATACAGACCTGTACAGACTTGTTGGTAACTAAAAACTGATTATTAGAGACAAAAATGAAGCAATTAGGCTTCTATTAATAAACAATCTAATTACTGTAACATCAAGGAATTCTGAACTGGGTGTTATGGTTTGTGTTAATCAAATTTGAATTGAACTTGATCAACAATGAAGTGTAAAATCACTACAAACTACAATGCTATACATGACCTTTTTTCAGCTGAGCCCCACTCAATTTAAAACCAGTGAGAAGAGCAGAAACTAACCACTAGATAGAACAAAACCTTTCCTGTAAAATAACCAAACTGTTGCAACTTTGGCAAAAAAAACTGTTTGTTCAGGTAAGACACTATCACTTGTCACAGAAGATAATTGAAAAAATACTTTTTCAGGGCCTTTAATATTTAATATATACCATAAAATACCACTCTAAAAGGCAGCTTTCTGCAAAATGAGAACTTGTACTTTTGAAATTTTAAGTTTATTTTGTTGATAATACTTTCACCAAGTAGTATTTGGATTGCAGGATTTATACATGGTGGTACTACTACTTTCACTTACAGACCCACACCAGTGGAAATCAGGTTTTTAACCTTGTAAACATGAACACATGATGTTTTTTATATGTTACAATATATATCATGAGTGAATAAGTAGTCTACACCATGACTGAGCATTTCTGCCTTGGAACTACAATGCAATAGAGACAGTCTCATAAACATAGATCCTGACTTCCAGGGTTTGCTACAAACCTAATGAACCAGTCCCACAATGCTATGAATGAAACGACGGGTGTTAGAGGAGAAGCCCTGTTTTGCCAGCTAGGTTTCACTTTCATTTTAACTTGTCAGAGCCAAGTGACAACCTTGAGGGCTGAAAACAAAAGCCAAAGCGAAGTACTAAAAACTGCAGTTCCTTAAATGGCCACTTGAGGCTGGCTTCAAAAGCGAGAAAATCCCCATAGACCCCCATGTTAAAATGCCCAACTTTACAGCAGAAATAAACACACTTACAGCCTGGTACAAAAAATGGTTTTGTTCTCTGTAGCTAATGTCAGCGTTGTGACAACTGTGTGGGAGTGAATATAACTCACCCTTTTAAATGTTAAGTTTTAAAATTTAGCAAATTAGGGACTTGATCGCTTTAACTGACAGTTGGGTGCTGTCCATTGACAGCTGCTATCACATCAACAATGGTGGTTAGGTAATGTAACCATGGAGGAACCCTAGATTCAAACAGTAAAGTTGTAGCTGTCGCGGTCTCTGTTTCTGTGTGTTTTTGTAACATTGTAACATTCTGGTCACCTAAGAAAGTCTTTAAAGGGAAATTTCAGTTTATTTCAACCTGTCTCCTATCGTCCTAAATTTGTTTCAAGTGACTAGTGACATAAAAATAATAGTTAGCATGTTAGTCGTTAGCCTAGATACAGCCAGGGTGCATAGTAGCGTCCGACCTGTTAAAACGTAAGTGTACGGGCATACTTCAAGTGCAAAGTTAGTCCACTAAACAAGCTTTTTTTCCACAAAGACCGCCTCATATCGTTAGGATAAATGTCAGAGAACATATAGAAAACGACATGTAAACGTGTTGTCTTACCTTACCGGTGTGCTGCCATGTTTGTTTACCATTTAGCTCTGCTTTCCAAAGCGCGGCTGAAATATGGCGAGCTCTAGATAAAGCCCAGCTGGATACTACTCCAGGTGGAGGTGTCTCGTCCTCGCCTCTCTCTCTCCTGCTCCGTTCTTCAATTTCACGAAGCTCTTCGTCAGTGTATTCTGGCGAGAGAGAGGCGCAACAGGTAGAGGACGAGAGAGGAGGAATGGCTGCTGCAAGGCTGCGTAGCTCTGGAGATTGGTGGTGTACCTGTGGATGCTGTGCCCCAGTGCCCACAGAAGAGGAATGCCTCTGTTGCAAGGAATGGGACCGGTTGCAGCCTTATTTTCAAGGTCTGGGTGTGACCGAGGACGAGACACCTCCACCTGGAGTAGTATCCAGCTGGGCTTTATAAAAAGCTGGCCATATTTCAGCCGCGCTTTGAAAAGCAGAGCTAGATGGTAAAAAAACATGGCAGCACACCGGTAAGGTAAGACAACACGTTTACATGTCGTTTTCTATATGTTCTCTGACATTTATCCTAACGATATGAGGCGGTCTTTGTGGAAAAAAAGCTTGTTTAGTGGACTAACTTTGCACTTGAAGTATGCCCGTACACTTATGTTTTAACAAGTCTGATGCTACTATGCGCCCTGGCTGTATCTAGGCTAACGGCTAACATGCTAACTACTATTTTTATGTCATTAGTCACTTGAAAAAAATTTAGGACGATAGGAGACAGGTTGAAATAAACCGAAATTTCCCTTTAAGCATTAAGGTTGTACTGAAAGACCCTCTATTTAGTTTTTCCGGTAAGTATATTTTGTTTAAATGGTTTTAAGCCTGATTTTAACTTGTGAAAATTAGCATTAGCACTATCACAATTAACCATAGCTGTAAATGCCCCATACCCCACTCATGCCCAAATATGGTCACTTCTAGCTCCAAAAATCCTAGATGGCGACAAATAAAATGTCAAACTTGAAGCTTTAAAACGTGAGTTCACAAACCAATGGGTGACGTCACTGCTCCTGTGGAGATTATTTTACAGTCTATGGTCAGAGCTGTAATTGGGAACAGGGTTTATTCAACATAAGCAACAAATCATTAGCTGTTTGATAAGCAAAAGACTCATGTTTTCATAGATCTATGTATACTAAATGAGGCAAAGGTGTCGAGTAACATCTAAGGCATGAGGGGCTGTTTTTCATGAGTAAAAAAATGTAGTATTGGTGAGCAGAAATTATTTTTTAGGTGTTTAATCAATGCCAGGGGAGAACCTGATGTAAAGGATGTGAATGTTTTATGACATGGTAACATTTTTACATCCCAGCAGTATGCAGGTGTGGCAGCAGTGTTGGCTCTGGTCTGACCTGGCTATCCTGCAGCGTCTCCTCGCAGCCCTCCAGAGCCAAACACACAGTTTCGCTACACTGAGGACACACCCAGACCAGGTCACGCATTGTCTGCACCACCGCTGAGGCGTGGGGGTAGGGGAGAGAGAGAGAGAGAGAGAGAGAGAGAGAGAGAGAGAGAGAGAGAGAGATAATCGGAGAGAGACAGAGTGAGTGTGACGATTGTTGTGAGTTAAACAAATGCAGCTGCATCGTGACAGACTACGGTAACATGTGTGTGGTATGTATGGTATGTATTTATAGTATGTACGTAATGTATATGAGTGTGGGGGGAGGGGATTTACCAGAAGTGATGTGCTCCTGTTTGAGCCCGAGCAGTCCAGTAAGTATCTCCAGACACCTGTCGCTGTAGCTCCGTCCAATACGACCTACACCCAATCCACACAGGGATACACAGGTTATGAGTGAGACTGTGACTTTAACCATAGAAAATCTATCAACCACACTACTGAGTGATGAGAATTTAAAAATTGATTTTTCACTTGTTCTTTGTGACCTTGTGTCAAAGCTGAGGGTGCTGACTGCTTTCCTCATTATTCTCTAGTTACTCTTCAACACGTGATGAGGATAATGTTGACATTTGCATTACAGGGAAATGGAGTTAGACGGAAAATGAATATACAAGCACTGCGTGGACTGAGAGCTAGAAAAAAAAGAAAAAAATGGCTGCCTGAAAGTGTTTGTCTTGTGATAAAGACATGGTAAACAAGACATTGTATGCAGGGACATGCATTACACTGCCACATAATAGTATGACTGAGGATGTCAGTTTCAGGTAATTGTGTTTTCAAAAGACCAACACCCATTAACCATTAACTGACTGGTTGACTTTTAAGAAAACACTAGAATTACCGCCTTGCGGTTGTATGTACAGTGCGACATATATGACTCTGTGGGGAAGGCAGGGCTATGGGCTACACACACACACACATTGCGATCTTCGTGAGATGGAGACGAGGCCAAGAAAAAAACAGAGAGTTGAGCGTAAGAGAAAGACAGGGAACTTGTTCCTAAACCAAATGCCATGGCCCCTGTGTGGGAGTGTTTTGGATTTAAACCAAATGACAGAGCGGAGCCCAGTAATTTGATGAGCCTGTATGCTGGGTTAGTTCTAAAACCATCTCAACAAAAAGAGCGAATATGACCAACTTAACTGCACACCTGAGAGTGAGAGACTGACAGTCTATTTTTGTGTATTTATAAGGTCTTTATTTATTTATTTTGGTATTTTTACGTGTTATTTCGGATATTTAAATTTTCTTTTTTTGCATTTGTAAATATTCTTGTTAAATGAATGTTTATTTCTCTTTAAAAGGGTGTACTTGCATCATTATGCCTTTATTATCATTATATAAGTTTAAAAAATGGTCTAAAAACAGCAAAATTACACCAATAAAAATGGTCTTAAAAGCACAATATTACGCATATTGTCGCTACAAACTTTCTGGCCTGTGCTACAAAATTATCACCCTCTGTAGCACCAGTGCTATGGGCTAAAAAAGTTAAAGGGCCAGTGTGTAAAATGGGTTGAAAACAGTGACATCAGTGGTCAAATTCTAGATTGCAGGGCTCACTCGATCACCCCTCCCGTCGAGTAAATGACGGTGGCCTCGTAGGGACAAAAAGTCTTGCGCACAACTTTTTCAGGAGTAGGTCTATCTAGCAACAAGGTGAATGTTTATTTAGAAATCTAAGCCATGTTGCTATATTGTAATGAATCCCTCACGAACAGGAGACCAGAGGAGCGTTCGGGAAAAAGGCCCGTTTATTTGAGCACTCCAGAAACTCCGGTAACACTCCACTCCGTCCCAAACTCTGACTCTTCTGGCGTAACAGACACACTTCATAACTTTACACACATACTCGTTTACCATCCCGAGTGGGGACCCCCCTCCCCTCTCTGCTCAATCTCTAGCCCGCACGCTGACTGACAGCGTAGCCGGTAAACAGAGCTCAGCTGTTCATTTAGCCTAGCAATATCTCCGGACTATAGCAGCTGCAATGGACGACTTTGAACGTGATTTTGAAGAGTTTCTTGTAGTGGACACAGACCCAGAGCCATACCTGTTTGAGCCGGAGCATACAGATGAGGAACTCCATGTGTTTGATGCTGAGTGGGCGAGAAGAGAGGCTGAATGCACAGAATGGGATTCGGTGCTACTGCTACCATCGTTGGGGAGATATATCATCAGGAGGAAAAGCGCAGCAGAGAGTGCATCACAAGGAGTGTAGTTGCGTCTTCTTTTCCTCGAAGATGACGGTTCGGGTTCATTCTCTCCTGTTGCGTGGTAAGTGTGGTCCATTCACAAACTTTATAACTAAAAAAATTTTTCACTACTCTCTATCGACGAACTACTAACACTCTCTGCTGTTTCCTCCTCCTTCTTCCTTCCTTCCGCTGTCTTCGTTGGTTGATTTATACACGCGAAACGCGTTCTCTGGCTGGCTGGATTGTCTGCTCGGGTGCCTTACATACATGGCGGCACAAGATGGCGACCTCTCTAAAGCAAGGCTCTTGCTATATATATATATATATATATATATATATATATATGTAAAAGCATAATTATAAGGCTACGAAAACCAATTGAATTCATCATTGTGAAGACATTGATGCTTCACACACTGACACTGACACAGCCAACAGTGATAACATAGTTAACTTAAAGGGGGTTTACAGCTCAAAATCGAGCCGCTTACTCACTAGGGCAACCTAAGGGGAGACCAGAGGGCAGTCACAATATTTCCACAACAACGCTGTTGGATCGTGATGCTGTTACTAGCGGTAGATGCCAAATGAGCGGCGCCACTAGCTAGCTCCTACCAGACCTGGATGGTGCGCAGTGCAGTAAACTGAAGAGCAGCAAAATTTACCTTTAGATTGACATGTGTAACCAGTCAAAAATATTCTTGGCAGTTAACCAATTAACGGTTAACCAGTGACATCCCTAAGTTTGAGTCTGCGTGTGGGTCTGTGTGTGTGTGTGTGTGTGTGTGTGTGTGTGTGTGTGTGTGTGTGTTTACCTATAGCTGAGATTGCAGCTTGGGCAGTGTCAGTGTTGACATCAGTGCAGTATCCTTTCAGCTCGTCCAGTAACATTGCTACATTCTCATCATTAACCAGCTCAACCAGCACCTGCAAACACAACAGTATTAACATTACTATTATTTAAGTACTGGACTGTTACTGGCAATACTGGGTAGTAACTGTGGATATCAATGCATGTTAAAGGGGCATTCCAGAGATTTAGTATTACACTACAGCTCCAATTAGGAAAACCTTATTGCTGAACAAGTGGCTTGACAGGATGTACAGGACAACCCCTTTATCATAAGTTTACATGCATGAGTGTGTGTGTGATTTCTGGAAAGGGGAGAAATAGAATAACATGAGAAAAACTTAAAACAAATGATGAAACACAGTCATTTTAAAAGGGCTAAATGACAAATTAGTTGCCTGGATTGAATAACCACTATGCATAGCACTGCAACAAGGCGGAACCATGAAACCACAACGGTCCCTGCAACCCACACTTATGTTACCCCACTTGATGAATAATGATTGTGTCTAGACCCCAGATTCACAAAAACAAAAACCTCCAACCAAATTTTAATGTTCCATGTTCACTGCAGGCCACCAGGAAGGGTGCTGGACTTTGAAGCCAATTCTTTCTTTGGCCGAGCAGTGGAACTACTTTTGTGATGTGTGACCCAAAAGGACTTTTTTCCCATAGACTTACACAGTGAAAGAAACATCTGTTAATCAGTGGATACATTTTTGTGTCACAACCCCTGAAAAATGACTTAATTCACTCATTCATCAGATTCATTCTCGGGTCATTTTGGCAATATTATAATTGTTATCATTTCCTGTTTTAAAGGCTGCATTGCAGTGAAATGTTGGAATTTTCTGAACTTGCCAGATTGTTCTATTATTTACCCACTCAGTTATTATATCCACATAACTGATGATTATTTATTAAAAATCTCAATGTGTGAATATTGTTAGAAAGCACAATAAGTTAACCATACACTATAATATCAATATCGAAATATTTGGTCAAAAATATTGTTATGTTCTCTATATTGCCCAGCCCTTGTTTCAAGTGATCATTTCAACCTAAACCAATATCTTTCCCTAACCCTAATCAAGTGCTTTTGTGCCTAAACCTAACCAGGCCTTAACCACAGAGCTGTCACACCATAAATCAGCAAGATTGTTTTGAAACAGCTTCAGCTCGCATGAGTTTTGCAAATCTAGGGTTACATCAGGTCACGACAAGGAATATCTGACAACTAAGAGCAAAGAAAGCAAAAACAGCTCATTTATCAACATAGGCAGCAGTTAATAAAATCTGTGCCAACAGTATTTGTATCAAACATAAATGTGACTACAACCATTATTAACATATGGCAAACAGAATAAACATGAATGCATAAACAACATATCACTCTAAGAGGTGAAGCGCAATAGTACAAATGGTGCAGGCCTTTTCATAACCATTAAAACTGGATTGAGAATTATGTGATGATCAAGAATCACATGGCTTCACTACATCCAGAATAATGCTGCTTGTCTTCTCACATACCCCCACACCCATGACCACATCACCCCCATCCTTCATAATCTCCACTGGCTCCCAATCCCCCAGCATATCCACTTTAAACTCCTTATCATCACCTGTAAAGCCCCCCACAATCTGGTTCACCCCTACCTTTCCGAGGTCCTCCACCAGCACACTCCCTCCCACACTCTTAGGTCTGCTGATGCCAACCTCCTGTCCCACCCACCACCAGGACTAACCACTGCACCAGGGGGGACAGGGCCATCTCCACTGCTGCTCCCACCCTCTGGAACTCACTCCCTAAAGACATCAGGGACTCCGCCTCACTCTCCACCTTCAAGAAATCCCTCAAAACACACCTCTTCAAAATTGTGTACTTCTTCTCCCTCTCTGCATCGTTTCCCTTCTTATGGATTATTTCATCTTTGTTTTTACTTTCTTTGTTTTGTTGTTGTTCTCTGTAAAGCGTCTTTGAGTTTGAGCGTTATATAAATCCCATGTATTATTATTATCACGATTATTGTTATTCACTATATGGATCTTAACTAGGAGAATACAGCACAGTGTAAGCCTGGGGCCAGAAACACAAAAGGTACATTCTCTCCGCAAAAATAATGTAGCTTTCCTCTGTTTACAGCTTTTTGTTTTTGTTGCACATCAAACAGAGGTATGCGGTTACATACAGTCTGGTAAAGAGGGAAGTTTTTGGCATCATTTCTTTCAACTGTAGTTTCACTAGGACAATATTAATTTATTTACAAAAACAGCAAATTGCAGCATGGTTGTGGTGAGAGCAGGAAAAGCACATCATACAGAAGAAGACATGAAAGCAGTCACAGTAAGGACCTGAATGTAGAGAAGCAACACTGAGTTAAACAGGCCTCACCTGCATCTTCCTTTGCTTGATGTAGGCTGGCTCTGCATACCCGCAGAAAAAACGTTTGTAGTGCGCCCCCATCAGGCCAGGGAGGGAACGCAAGAGCAACTACAGGAGGACAGAAGACATCATTTGAGATTTACACTGACAAAGACACAAATACACTGTGATGCAGCAAATAATACACTTTGTGTGTCTACTGCCTCACACACACACAAACACACACAAACACACACACACACACACACACACTTGTTTAAGCTTCCTCATGCAAACAATGTTGTGCTGTCAGACAAAGAAAATATTTGAGAATTGGCTTTAGGTCTTATGTAAAAAAAAAAAAATTGTGTTATCATATATCACATACACACACTTTATCCAAATTCAATATCCACAACTGATTAAAGTGAACTTTACTCATACATAACTTTCTCAAAATAAAGTTTCACTGTTTATCAAAACATGACTGGAAAAGAGAAAACACGAGACAATCAGTGATATTAAATGATGATATTCAATGCAATAATACAATATACAGTAATTGTTTCCGGCTACAAGAATACAGTGGGTTGAATCAATAATAGATGCATATGTCAGACAGCCCTTCGAACTGACATCTGAGATATCGAGGAAAACATGGAGTTAGTTGCTTGAAAAGTCTTCCTGAGGCTCTACAAAGATGTGCTCACACTTACATTTGCTAAAACTGACTTTTAGCTATTTCATGTTGTCTTTCAATTATAGCATCACAACATTGCTGGTCACTTGTGCTTTACAACCCTGATTCCCAAAAAGGTGGGAAGCTGTGTAAAACTTAATAAAAACAGTATGATTTGGTATAAACGGTGCATTCTCGAAAGGCTCAGTTGTTCACAAGCAAGGATGGAACAAAGTTCAGCACTTTATGAAAAACTGCGAGGGCAAACAGTCCAACAGTTCAAAAACAATGTTTCTCAATGCACAGTGTAATGTAAAAAAATTAATTGAATTCAGCCCTGGTATGTTTTTTCAGTTGCTCTCAGCAAGGAGCGAGCGTATGTGGCCTCATGTGGCCGCCTGGAGCATATGAATATAGATATCAAGACATATATATAGATATATATATGTGTAGCAATTGCAAGCGACAGCAACATCAGGAAGAAGGAACATGAGAAGCTTGAAAAAATACCAAGGGCTGAAAGAGGAGCTAGAAAAGATGTGGGGAGTAAAGGCAACAGTGGTGCCAGTGGTAATCTGAGAACTGGGGGCTGTGACCCCCAAACTGGGAGAGTGGCTCCAGCAGATTCCAGGTACAGCATCTGAGGTCTCTGTCCAGAAGAGCGCAGTTCTAAGAAGAGCTAAGATACTGCGCAGAACTCTCAAACTCCCAGGACCCCAGCGTGAGGAAGACACACCATCATCACCCCCCATAAGGGACAGGGGTGAGAGGGGGATTTTATATGTATGTATAATATGTGTGTGTGTGTGTGTGTGTGTGTGTGTGTGTGTGTTTATACACACACACACACACACACACACACATATATTTTTTTTTAATCATTTAATTATTCATGGTGTGAAGGCCTCAAAGGAGGTAAAGTATGCCATTAACTCTGTGTCCTGTGTTGTAAGAACCATCCAGGAAGTTAAACGAAAATGGTTCAATATGAAACTTGATGCAAAAAAACTCCACTTGGGCAGTCAATTGCAAACACTGAAGGTAAGGTGATGTACGTGTTATATTAAGTGTTTAATTGCTGTATATTCTGACAGCTATCACTGATAGCTCAGTGTTTGGTCAGTAACATGAGTCTAACAGCCTCGCCACTCAAACAGAAGATACATTTGTGGAGTTCTCTCTCCTGTCTGATTCAAGTGGGAACAAGATGCCAGAAATGTAGAAAACACATGTATTACGTTGACTTAAATACCCCATTCACATTTTTAGGAAACCTAATCTGTAGTTTAGATCTGCTAAATGCCAACTAATGAAGCTAATGTTTCATATTTCTAATCTCCTGTCATGTTTAACTTGATGTTTCAAAGGCATCTGCGTATTGTGAACATAACAGAGCACAATACCAATTAAAACTGTAATTTCAAATAATAACAAACAATATTTATGTGCATTCCTTATTTACACAATCACTACCAGCAGTCAGAAGCAGGTGTAGATTTTGTTAGTAGCTCCAAAAAGATCAGCGTTACTAACATACTGATGAATGCTGAAATACACACACATATTCATTCTGCTTATGTTTCATGAATGAGACCCACTGTGCATGGTTAGCTGTTTTGCACAGTGAGTATCAGTCATCACATCTAGCTGAAAAAAAAAGCAAACTAGCTGAAAAAACTACAACGGCCCAAAAGAAAATAAAAACCATTATTTTCCTCAGAGCTGGCAACCACTTACAACACACGACACACTGCATTTTGTTTTCCACAGTTACTTAAGGTTCTTCTCCATTCCCCACTGAGGATAATAACAGCAAAAACGGATTCTCTTTGGTAATTAGGGATGGCTACCAAAAGCTACTGGGGAAAACAAACATGCTGTCCTCTTCCTGTTTTGGTTGTGCAATGTTTGATGTGCTTCCTTTGTGGCATAAATCAAGGTTTCATTTTCCCAGGCGACTGTACCCGCTGGCAGACAGAATTGCAAAGTGAAAGCAAGGCTCACAAGAAACCAATCTAAACACAGATGGTTGTCATTATTCTATAGCTATTACATTGTGTAAACAACATTCACACAATCAAAATAAGTTAAAGCTAAAAGCGTATCTACTTCCACTTTAATTCAATACACCGTATCACTTTTGACCTCCAGCCCTTTGTGTGCCCTTCCTCCTCCTTTGTCTGAACTGTGAGCCAGATCATGACACAGTAGATGTCTACAGTATCAAATGTTGCCTGAACGTTAACTGCACACACTGTTAATACTTTCACAGCCTCCACCTCCAAACTTGAATTATTCACACTGACCTGTATGTGGCAGAGGGCAGTGAACCTCATCTCTCTGGACACGCTCCCACAGGCAGCCAGCAGGGGTCCCCGGACTCGCTCCAGGGCTGCCAGACTGACAGCAGGCAGGCTGGAGCAGAGGCTTAGGAAGAGGCTGAGGGTGGCGGCCATGACTGGGGGGTGGGGGCTGACCAGGGCGGCATCCAGCAGGGACAGGATGTCAAACAGCTCGTCCTCTGACTGAGGTCGGTAGCGCTGGAGGATCCTCAGCACCTCACACTGACCCCAAACATCACACTCCTTGAGCCTGGGAGGACAGACTGACAGTGTTGGATAATGGCCAGAAAAGTGTTTTTAAAGAACAATATATTGTAACAGTGAAGCTGACCTTTGACCTTTTGGATAAAAAATGTCGTCACTGCATCATTTTATTCTAAAAGACATTTCTGTGAAATTTTATTGTAATTGGCGTATGAATTCTTAGGTCATTGCCAAAAACATCTTTTGTGAGGCTGCAGTGAACTTGACCTTTGACCTTCAACCACCAAATTGTAATCAGCCCTGAGGTGAATTATTAAATCTAGCTTTAGGACTCATCATCGTACCTTATACACCATGGTAGAATGGTCATCCCTCACTTTGTGCTGGTTACAACACTGGCACAGTCGAGTCTATGAGCTCATCTCAGTTGAATTTCCAATTTACCTAAGCCAGAAGTTTTTATATTTGTAAAGCAGCCATAATCTTAGGTCACGCAAATGGCTCCAGTTTTAAGTGCCTTTTACCACCACAGAGGTTGGTGAAACAGGGCTGTTCTGCTAAGGTCCCTGGTCCTGGAAAAATCAGCAGGCCAAGCTCAAACTTGAGACCCTTCTCCCTTCAAATGATTTTAAATTAAAATAAAGAAAATAATAACATCTAGCTGCAGCTGCTTTAATTTACTAAGAAATTCCAGACCCAATACTGCTGCCTGGTTAATGCACTGTATCATGTACTGTATTTTGACATACCTATTGTAGCTGTTGTTATTTGATATTGCCGTGTTTGTGTTCGATGCCGCTACTTTAACCTTGTTTTGGCGAGGTCTCAATTGCAAAAGAGGTTTTAATCTCAGTTTGACTTCTTTGTTAAATAAAGGTCATGGACTTTGCATCACAACCTGTGTATCATCTTGACATCTTCAAATTATATTTTTTCATGTTAAAATCAAAACCTAGAAAGTAGTGCCTCTGGGAATGCTGAAGACAAAATCTCACAAAGGAAAGGAAATATCCTAGAAATGTTCAGCCTGTGGTTTTAACTGAGTGATTTGATGTAAAGCATCTAGAAAGCTCTCCGTACCTCTAATGCTTTCCTCTAATGTTTTCCTGGTAACACTGTCTTAAACTGAAATCTATCAGGAAGTACTGGAAGCAATTCGGCTATGCTGATTTGATTAGCTCTGAGTAGATAAATGGCTAATGGTTGTACACAGAGAAAAGGGCTCAAGACTGTAGATTAACATTAGTTGTGCAATGAATACAAAATCATGAGGGAAAAAAACAAAGGCTTATATACAAAATACAGAATATGTTTACTAAAGCACACAAACAATGAAATGTCATTTATAGCTGTTCACCTCAACTGTTTGTGACATACAGAGCATTTTGTTTGACTCTCAGAGGGCACTGAGTAGAGTTGTAATATACTAATAGGTTATACCTGCATATCTGTAAATAGCCTCAGTGTCATTCTCACACCCGTCACATATCAACTCCTCCTCAGATTAGACAGAAATAAAAGACAGCAAGTATAACAAAAAAGAAGTTAGAAGATCATGACTGCTGCGAGTGTGTGCTTAAATGGAAAAAAAAATATGGCTTCAGCTACCTCCACTGGTTATGTCAATATTGCCATGTTGCACAACGCCATTTATAGAAAAAATAATAATAAAATCAATGCTGTCCAAACCATATACTGTATAATAAAACTGGACAACATGACAGCTCCCCTGAAGTGAAGCAGTATAGGTCATAAGCCCCGCCCTCTCCATGTTAGTCGATGGGAAATGGGCCAAACTAGTATTGCCAAAAATTAGATTTCAGGTAGTTCTTATCACACTGCTGTTTGTTTTTCTGCTAATTTAGGTTTTAATTAGTTATTTGATTTGCTATAAAAAAACGGGGGAGGGTTACATCACGATTGACAGCTGTGTGTGCCAATCACTGTGCTTGCAATCAATGGCGCAACTTGTAATTGGGTCAGACAGGTGTAAGTGCAGGAAGTCGACACACCGGAAGTAACTAGCTCCAGATGACATCACCAGTGCAAGATGGCAGCAGCCATTTTGGCTTCATTTTTGTGCAGTGGGAGGAAGTGGAGACGCATCGTCAATCAGCGTAACATTCAACAACATGAACAGAACCTTTTTTTTTTTTTTAACTGTTTTCATTTTGTGACAAAGTTCTCTGATGCTCTAACCTGTTGAGGAGGTGGTGGGTGATAGGTTTATTAATAGCGACTCCTCCCTCCTCCCTCAGGATCTCCTCCAGAGCTCGAAGACAGTTCACCATCACCACTGGGTCTGGGTCCCTTAGCAGGCTGTACAGCTCATTCACCACTGCAGCATCTGGAAGAATCATGAACAAGAGGTCTGTGGACATGGTGTGGATGCATATACTGAGATTCTTCAAGTCGAGCAGTCATTTTTATGCGTGTGTGTGTGTGTGTGTGTGGTGGCGGCAGCTGACACAGCATAAACTGGGTCGCCTTGTCTGCACAGCTCTGGATGTAGATTTTGCCATGTTGTTACTGGGTTCTTCTTCTGTTACGCATTTAATGCTATTCAACGTCTGGGGTCAAAGCCCTGGGTGGAAACTTGGGAGCATGCGCAGATCGCCTAGTCCAGTTTAGGTCCAACTGACTGTATACATGCAGGAGTAATCTGACTCCCAATCGCATTATCTGGGTGTTAGTCTGACTTTGAGAAGTTCCATTTAGTACACTGTCAGTCTGACCTATACTTTAACATGTATTTTAAAAGTCCAGTTGGACTAACACAGTAAATCTATTTTCTGGATGTCAGGTTAGCTAACTTTTTTTTCTAACTACATTACATTTCAGTGTTTCCCACAGAATGAGGATCTATGTGTGGCAGTAGCTGACAACTGGAGTGAGGGGGGTGCTATCTTTCCAGTATTTTGCACCTGTGTGCCCTTGTGTATCAGTCTCTGCTACCTCTCTAAATTCTGAGGTTTTTGTGGGTCCATGAACGCAGTGCAGGAGGAACTCTTTGGGAGTTCTTTTTTTCCCTCAGCAGCACTTTGTGGAGTTTTGAGATCAATCGATCCGATCAGAGCAGATCAGAACAAGTCGATGCAAGAGAGGAGCAGCTACTGCAGAGGACAGTGAAAACAAACTTTTAGACCCAGATATATTTGTGAGCCTGTGATCCACTCATTACTTACCTACATTTACATTTACACCTTTGTTACAACTTATCTGCTCTAAATGTGGAGATTGAGTGTAGGAGGTGGAGCATGCAAGGAGCACCTCTAGTGCAGATACTAAGTTTCCAGCTGCCTTGAAGAAGCACCACCTGCCTTTAACCACGATGCAATTATGATGGAGCAAAACCCAGAACAAGAGGCAGCTTCCTGCGACAATCGCTGACCACAATTTTTATACCAAAATCTAAAAAAAGACAAAAGTGACACGATGAAGTGCTGCTGTGCCTCCTGAAAAACACGGAGCTCTCCACTTTTGAAAGGTCTTAGTTTAACCTCCACAGGCACGATGAAGTAAATTGCAAATATTTAAGGTAAGAAAAGTTGTTATGTTAATTTTTCATGTGTAACATTAATCTTTGATGTAATGATAAGGAAGAGAGAGGAAGAGATAGAGAGTGGAGCATTGTTTATATCTCAGTAGTATGGCCTTCCTTAATTGTTTAGCCTATCTGCTGTAATTCATAAAAAAAAAAAAAAAAAACATTTGACAAGTACTGTTTTTTTTATCATTTTACACACCCTAAAAATTAAAGAGACGGAAAGTAACTTGTATTTGAGTCATGTTTATGGGAGTAGTTTGTCTCCAACTAGTTTGTCTGCACCCCCTTATTGAAATCCAGGGGTCTCATTTATAAAACAGTGCGTAGGATCCACACTAAAAGTGTATGTGTGGACAAAAGCAGAACATGGTGTGCGCCAAAAAATACTCTGATATATAAAACTGTGTGTATGCCTGACAGTGTGCAATTTTTTTTTATAGTTCCCAAATCAACATGAAATTGTCTGCAGGTGGACCAGCCTTATATCCTGCCCTCTACACGCCCACACTCAACTATAAATGGTCAACGCAAAGCACCATGAATGCTGATGCATAGAAATGAGCATGCTGATCAATGGGACTTTCCGGGTGAATCACGGCAACAGCCCGGTGTCACTGCAGTCTTTATATGTTTACAGCATTTAGACTGATTGCTTCACACCATGCCAAAATGACTGTGACAATCAGTGTATCCCTCACCCTGGGATATTATCTGAAGATGAAAATTTCCTAGGTGAACGCAATTTATTTATTCATTTATTTATTTAAGTCTGTTATGGCGATTTTGGCCTGCATTATAGGATTCAAAATGAGGATATAAAATTTAATAATTGTGCGAGAACTGGGGCTGGCCTTATTTCCAGACTTTACTAATTCACTCAATCCATACATGCAGGTGGTGAAGATGTAAGTAAGTCGACTGAAGAGGGAAAAGTGTGTGGCAGCCACCGAAATGTCTCCAGTACGCTGTGGGCGCACACAATCATACTCATTGCAGCGATTTTAACGCAAAAACTATCTAAATACTTGCTTGGTGATATGAATTTATAGTATTGAAAGATACTGGAAACTGCTGATGCTCTGTTTTACTAACATTTGAAGCTATCTGATGTGCGCTCCACCGCTGACCATGAGTATCCGTTGCATCCCTCTCTGCTGCGCTCGTGGGGTGGGAATATGATGGTGAGACAGTGATGATGAAATACTGAGCAGAATTCGGGGTGAGATTTGAGTAAGCTTATAATTTTTAGAACTTAAAGGTGTTCATGGAAAAGTTATGGCTCACTAGCACAAGTCGCTTGCTAGATTAAATGTTTATGATTGAGTGGATTTTTAAGTAACATGTAATTTGAGGCGAAATTAAATGTGTGAGAGACATTATATATGTATAATGATGCCTCTCACATTCAGTTTCTACAATTTGGCTTCAATTCACCACCTTACCATCCGCGTTGCCAATTTCCCCTGTTTCCAAATGAGAGACAGAGTTTCCCTGCAGGTGTGCACATTCTGCCATCAAGTTGGTTTTTTATAGATCACAACTTTTGCATGGGAAGTGGTGTACACCTCTGTCAGGCCTTCTTTTGTCCATACGCAGTGGTTGTAAATGAGACCCCAGAACACTCAATGCTAACAGCTAACTCTGCACTCTGACCAAAGAAATGTTTTCTTCTCAGGATGTTAAACATTTTCTTTTCTTTTTTTTTTTTTTAATTATATCTTTTTTTGGAAAGACAAGCTTGTAACATGACAACAGCTGCATCTTCCTGAAACAGGAAATCACACAAGCAACTATTTACATGGAACAGTGGGAGATTATGTTGCTAGCCAGGTCAGTTAATGAAGTGACAAGAAGTAATAAAACAAAATAAAATAAATTTAAGTAAAGTCTAATGGACCATAGGCTCAGATAAAGTCAGCTCTGATAGGGGTTATATATGTGATCCATGTTAAACATTTTCTAACCATTACTTTTTGCAATCGGTGACAATGACAACTCTAAAAACCACCTGTTTTTGCAGAGTCTCTATTATTGTTGGTTGCCCAACAGTCTCTTTAGGTGCTGCTGAGCGCTATAATCACTATCATCCCAATAATGGAATTTCACCATGATCGACTAAATGTGTTTTTTATTACGATCTGTGCAAAAATCATATATTGTCCCATCCTTATAAAAAGTTTATCTCAGTACTACATATACTGCTGGAGCTTTGATGCTTCATGGCTGCCGCCCTATTCCATACACCTTACAAGCAGGGGAAGTTGTTTCTGAACTCCAAAACCGTCGCTGTACAACAACACAGGAAAAAAATGACATTGAGAAAGAAAAACAGAGACAAGACAGCCTTCCATCCAGCCTACCTATCTCAGAGTTGGGTTGGAGGTTGTGCAGTTTGGCCCAGCCGAGCACGGCCACTCGTCGTACACAAGCTGCTCTGTCCCTCAGTCCTGCTGTCAGAGGCTGCTCCACGTACTCCACCAGACTGGGTAACCTGGGACACACAGACACACAGTCAAAAACGAATTCATTTCAACAGCTACAGGCTGACGTGACTGTTCGTACTGAAGTCAACGTATGTAGCACCTCACCTGAGGTTGGTCATGTTCCTCAGGGCCAGGCTGCGGACCATGGGGTTTGGATCCTGACAATCTTTCCTCAGTGTGTTGATGACCAGCAGAGACAGCTCAGGGTTTAAAGTGGCATAGGAACACAGGAAGACGTAGACCAGTTTCTTCTGGACTATGTCTACTGTGGCACACGCTTTTACCATCTCACTGAACAGACCTGATACATCCACACCCTGTGACATCGCCCTGAGAGAAAGAGACACAATGTACAGCAGAGGATGATGGGAATGTCATTGGTTTTTGGTTTGCTGGTATTTGGTCTTTAAGTATTGCACAAACTAAAAATTGATGATGATTGATGACGACTGACTGAGCTGCTCATCCTTCCAGGTAAAGACATCTCCCAACCCTGATCTTTCCATCACCACTGAGAACCCTGTGGTGCCCCTGACTCGGACTACACGGAAACCTGGCTGTGACACTGGATGTTCAGCTGTCCTTCCCTGTGAACATCTCCTTGACAGCCTGCTCCTGCGGATTCATTCTGGAGGATACGTCCATTCTTTGTCCAGGAGGCAGCACAGGTTAGACTACCACATCTCGCAGCAGCCTGGCTGCTCTTCAACCTACCCAAGTTCTCCTCTGCACCCTGCACTGGCTCCAGGTGGCTGCTTGAATCCGATTCAAGACACTGTCCCATCCTACATCCATTAATGACCAAACTGTACACCACAGCCCATCCACTACACTCTGTTACTGCCAATCTGGCTGCTACGCCCTCATTACAAAATGATTCCCAGCTATCAATCCTCCTGACTGTTTGCTGTTCTGGCTCCCTGATGAAGGAACAAACTCCCTATTAAAATCAGGACAGCAGAAACTCTACACATGTTCCATCACAGACTGAAACTCATCTGTTCAGACTGAGCTTTGGCCCATAAAAGAATATTTTAAAAAGCAGAAATCTCTCTCTCTATCTCTTAGTGTCTTAATATATGTACATCAGCACATTTGATGAAGTTCATGTACTTGAAGCATGATTCTGCACTTTTTGGGGTTGTGCCCACATAGTTGAGTGCACTTACTGTAAGTTGCTTTGGATAAAAAGTGCCAGCTAAATAAATATAATGTAATGATTGAGCTGTGATGTACAGGGAATGTTAAGGTGGCTACACAAAGAAGAGACAGACACCTGGATAAAAATGCTAACACAAAAAAAAAGCAGTGTAAGCTGATTTCCCAGTGACCGAGCAGTGACTTGATTTTGTTCAGGAGATGTATTTGATAGAAAAGTGCTAAAACAAACACAACAGCGGCACTCATAGATAAACTGACTTACTTAATGTGGGCAAAACAAACAGGAACAAATGTGTGTCAACTACAAAGCCATCATCAGTGTGATAAAACAAGCAGGAATGGCAGTTTATATGAATAGGAGAGCTTTAAACAACAAGGATAGAGAAGAAATAACTGAGTGATAAGGTGCATCTGTGAAAGAATGACCTGCCCAGCAACAGTCTCTCCCAAGTAGGAGGAAAATCTGCAGCAGTCACCACTTTCACAAGATGAAAGGTAAAAAAAAAGCGGATAAAAGGAAAGCCTGGCTTATTTTAATAATCTTGCTAGTTTAAGTGAGTATTCCATTCCATTACCGTGGCTTATATGAATCCCTGCTCAGTAACCATGGTAACTTATACTGCTGAACTAGCCTGCTCCAAGGCAGGCTAACTGTCAAGCTTAGTGTAGCTGCATGTCAAAGAATCCCAAAAGACAGTTCTGTGAAGTACATCTTCGCGCAGGAAACACTTTTATCCTGTGTTTCAGACATTTCTCTCACAATGTGACCGAGCATGAATTTAGTTCCAAAGAATATAATAAAATAAATAAGTAAATAAATAAATAAAGTTTTAAAAATAATGTCTTACCACTTTTACTATCTAAAAAAGCCAAATGGTTATTTGACACAGGCCGAACTATTTCAGTTAATCCCCATTTTATTCACGATCACCCTTGTTTTAGTTTAGTTTAAACTGTATAATGTAGCAATGCCCACAATTCCCATCATGCCAGGTGCTGGCCTGAGTAGTTAGCAGTTTGCAGCTGAGTTTACTGTTTTATGTTCCAAAATGCAAATGTCACTGTTTATCAGTGATTACAATGTGTCTGTTCAAAACATGGTGGTTCCTGTCTTTTTAGTGTTACTTTATAGTTCACACCAGTAGTGAGTTAGCTGTTACACTCAGTGATGTCAGCCACCTCTCTCATTATTATTGACTTTAAGCCCAAGTGCTTCACGGTGTCTCTCAGCAGCAGTGGTACTGCCTCTCTTTTGGTTAAATAGATAAGTTTCTCTCAAACTTAGGTTGCAAATTTGATAAAATGCTCGTCAGTGAGCACTTCTCATGTGTGGCATATCAAGATGCTGATAGAAGTTGAACACAAAATCCTGGTGTTGAAAAAAGCTTCAGTTTTCACTATGGTCATGTATGCAGGAGCACAGAAGTTAATGTTTTTTAGAGGGTGTGGTTACAGCAAACATTTGGCAAAATTTTAAGAGAGACATAAAGAATAAAGGGATTTTGAACTTGAAGACAGAAGCCTTCCTTGTAGATGATGTGTTCAAGGACCGCTGAAATTTGAATATCTGACAATATTTTCTGTTTTTACTGCTTCTGATTCTGATAAATGTTGTAATTTTGGTGATTTTTTAATGAAATCACACCTTTCAAACCTGCCAGTGGGATTTGGGGTCAAGGGGAAATAAATACAAAATGCAACCTTTTAAAGTTTTGTGTCCTTCCCCTGAGCCAATATAAAAACACAAGTCCCTCCCCAGTGCTTAAAAAAATACTTGATGTGCCTCCCTCTTTTTGTACCACCCCCTTCCCCGTCGTAAATAACAAACGGTCCCGTATAATGCACTCGTAATTTGTGGTGAATTTCTCTTTAATTTTTCTTCAAAACTGTACAGGAAAACATAAAAATATGAATATATGAATAAATGTGAAGTACATCAAAAATGTACTTCACACTTCCTGCTGTTTAGAGTGGGGGTCTTTCCAAACAGGATTACAATTTCAGCAAACTTCTGAAGGAAAACTTTCTGAGTCTGAGAGTTCAAATCTGAGGAAATCATCAGTGTATTATGACATCCTTTGAGATGACTTTTTCCTTATAATTTCTCAAAAACTGAGTTGGATACCTTAAAATTTCATGTCGGTGGTCAGGCTCCTTAGGAGCAGAACTCATTAAGAAATTCAACAGCTTGCGGAAATTTGTGTCAGTTCAAATAGGTGGAGATTATAAACATGGCACTATGTATTTTGTGGTGACTTTTATTGATAGTTTGGTAGCTTGGCAGCTCACTTGATCACAGTCAGAAGGGGCCCCACTAAATGTTTGCCCCGGAGGCCCCTAAAGGGTGACTCCGGCCCTGCAGATGACCCGCTGTGGCTGGAGGTAGGCCAGAGGACAGTCTATCAGTCAGTCTGTCTGTAACCTACCTGATGACTTTGAGGATGGTGTTCCTGTAGCGCAGCTGGTCAGACTGGACGTTGGGGTTGGACAGTGCTCTCCTCAGCTCCCTCACCGTGTCCTCACTGCCCAGATAAGGCATGATGCTGTTTACACACAACCCGCACCCTCTAATTTAAAATATCACTAACGACACTGCGCCATCCTCAACACGTCGATTTGTTACTTTTGAAAAAACACTCTATCACTTCAAACGGTGGTTCATTCTCAACACTACTTGATGACTCGTTGTTTACACCATGCACACTTCCGCATTTCCTCTTCTGCTTTTAGCCTCTAGATTTGACTCCCTGCTGCCCCTGCTGGTTGGAGTAGGAATAACACCCTACTATCTAAATTACTGACGTCAAGGGGCAGCTCCTTAACTTGCCCACTCCACCTGTCACAGCCTGCTACACAGGCTTACAGAGACACTTCCTGGTAAGGGAGTGTAGCAACAGTGACAGCGCACAGCATCAACGTCTAAATGAAGTTCCTATGATACAGTTGTATAGATGAAACTACCCAACAGCAGGGCCTAGTAAAGTAGTTCTTATTTAACCCACTGCAGGGCCCCGTGACAAAATTATCACAAAACGACAAACTGTAAACCTGGGACTTATGGGCCCCTGGAAGTCAGGGGTCACAATATATTTGCCCACATTTTCTCTGGCTGGTAACACCACCTACAACATTAAAATGCTTCTTATGTATGCATGTTTATGCATCATGAATGATAATCCAAAAATGTATCATCAATTAGATGTGATCAAACCATGTAGATTTGTTTTTGAGTTGGTTAACAAATCTCTGCAGTCACGACTGTTCCCATCCTGGCTCCCTAATGGTGGAATAAACTCCCCATTCACATCAGGACAGCAGACAATCTACACATCTTCCATAGAAAGACTAAAAAACTAATCTGTTCAGATTGCACTTTGGCCCATGAAAATAAATAAATAAATAAATAAAAAAATTAAAAAAGAAAATCTTTCTCTTTCTCTTCATGCAGCAGTTGAAACATTCTGCCTATTTGAAGAAGCCTATGTATTTGTAGCATAAATTTTACAATTATTTGGGGGTTGTACCCACATGCTTAAAAGAACTTATTCTAAGTCAGTTTGGAAAATGCATGTCATGTTGTCCCAATAACTGGTAACACAATAGGTTAAATGTGTAAAAGTGGCAAAATGCCCTTTAACAGGATGCCTTAACATATCAGACACATGATTCAATGCTTTTAAGACCTTTTCAGGATAGTTTTTAACCGAATTTCAGACTGATTTTTGGACAAATCACCTTTTTCTTATTCAAGCATTGCAGCTAAGTATTAAGGTAAGTAGAATATAGTCCAGAGCAGAGCTCAGGTAGGTTTTATATGGGAATAGAATTATTAGAATGAGTTAGGTTAATCTACATCACCAACAGGTAAGGCAAGTGACAGTAAAAACACAGTGTTAGGATCAGTGGTAGGTTGGAAGAGCTGTTACATTAGAAACCTCACAAATTTTAACTGAAGACAATTTAATGTATTTTAAGGCCTAATACTTGTAAATATGTACAAAAAGACATGATTGTCCAAATTGCTGATCCTGGAACCAGGGATGGGGGAACTGTCCAGGGCTCTCAGTGTTATCAGTACACAAGAGCAGGATGACAGCTGCTGACAGTGTAGGGGTGCAGTGTTTAGAACTGACAGGATTTACATTTTCAAACACTTTTTCTTTTCTTTTTTTTAAATTACGTGAGAAAGTAACTTTTTTTCCACCTAGGGAAATTACTATCAAGCTGCAAACTGTTCTATTTAGACTTTATTTAAACTTCCTGTAGGAAGATAAAAGTGTTTTACTTTAGACCCCATTTCATGGCAAACATATTGACATGTCATATCAGGAAATGCACAGGTCTAACCAATAGCATTAATGATTGCACTGTTCAGTTAAGGTATTCCAGTTCCCGAGATCATGCATGCTTCCTCACACTTGCACAGATGCATTAATGCTTTTCATGATGTGTGCTTCTTCTGCTGTGGAAGCTTACAGTGAAAAGGTTTTGCCTCAGTGACAATGGTCGGACAAAATGTAGGGCATTTTTTTATCAAACTTTTTAGCCAGGCTCCGACATACAACTGATTTCTGTCTCTACTCACATAACACCCAAACAGTACTTGAGTCTGAGTTGATGATGGTTTTATTGATTGTGAAAAGCAGGAAATCTCCAAACACAGACAGCTTCAGACCTCCAGCAGTCTAAGTCCAACCCCAATCCAAAGGCAAACATCCACTCCACCTGACCCCGCTGGCTGGGGTTTAAAGGCAGAGCTTCATAAAAAGGAAGGGTGGGAGGGACTTGGTGCTGGAGGGCCAAACAGCTGACACAGACAGACATTCTGAACGCCACCCAGCTGGTCCAAAGGAAGCTGCTCAAGCCTTCCTCTGGGCCGTGTGGGCAGATCCAGGTGCCAGGACCGATAAACCATTTCTTTTACACACGATACATTCACTAACATTAACGTCATTCACTTCCAAAAGAAGAGTCAACAAAAAACCCTGTTCCACTTCCCCACAGCAAAGCACCCCAGTCAAATGATAAAATACTCAAACACACACACACACACACACACACACACACACACACACACACACACACACACACATTCACATTCAAATTGATTATTATCTGGCAAGAGTGATTTGGAATGTTTTCTCTTTCTCTAAATGGAAGCTCATTTCTGCGTTCAGATAAATTACGTAAATCAGTTTATATGAATTAGGAAAGGGCGAAAAGAAAGACAGATCTGAATAAAAAGGGGTGGATAGTATAACATACTACCCTGAATTTACATTTCATTCCAAAATGGTGACAATAGGCTTCATTTCAGCAGCTCTTTCCAAAAATGGATAAATAATAATGCATGCTGTCCATTTCCTCTCCCACTGTTAAAGATGACAGTGATTTTGGTCTGTGTGCTCTCAGCATTCTGACTGAAAAGGGGGATGAGATGGACAGCAACACCAACACCCACACAAACACACACTCACGCACACGCACACCGTGGCAGTGTCTATGACAAATTGGGGCTAGGAGCCGGGCTGGTGGAGTTGTTGTCCTGATTTGCTGCCTGGCTTCCTCGTGGTGGAACCTCGATAATGCGGGGCTTGTCAATAATGCGTGCTCGGCGGTCGCCTTTCTCAACAATTCCAATTATCCATGCTCCGCCCGCCGCACCCTGACCTCCGGCTCCGGAGCTCTGGCTCTTCATCTCCGAGCAAAACTTAGCCGCCTGCTCTCTGGGGAGACAAACAAGCAGCCCACCTGGAGGGAAGAGAAGAAAGATAGATTTTAGGTCAACACTTGGTGTTAATGATTTATACTTTCAAACAATAATCATCTCACCAAATTATGAAGGGGTGCAAACTCATCAGGCATGAAAAAGGTGACAAGGATGCAGACCCTCTAGGGGGTATATGCAATTAAAATGGATAATTCAGCTTCCAGTGAAAACCTGCTGAACTTCTGAATCAGAAAAAGGTGAGCACACATTAACTTACAAGAGAGAAATGTGAACACACAATAGCATGCTGTGGGTGAGCCCAGAGATTCCGAACAGAATCGGAGAAGCACTGATTTGTAACATCAAACTGCTTTATTCTGTGTTTTTAGCGATTCTAATTGTCTGGTCAGTTTGTTTTGGAGAAGAGACCTCTGTGGATACTTCGGCTCCCTATAAAAATGTACTGATTAAAAAAAAAAAACAGTAAAGGAATTCTAGAAGTTTTTAGCTGGTTGCAATCTGTAATTCACTGCTAGATGCCACTAAATCCCCCTAAATCTTACACACTTCATTTTAATAAGATGTAAACGGGTGAGTTATAAAAAAAAAACAATTCACCCCCTGTAAAGTTGTCATAAATGTTGGAATTAGCTATAGAACCAAGAACAGTTTTTTGTGCCAAGCCGTTAACATGTTTATTTCATGTTTATTGCTGTTAAGTTGGGCGTTTTACCATGGGAATTTCTGCGGGGACTGACTCTGTTTTGGAGCCAGCCTCATGTGGCCATAAGAGGAACTGCAATTTTTGGCACTTCCGCACTGGCATTCTCTCTCAGCCTCAGAGGTTGCCACTGTCTGCTCCAAACACCATGAAAAACTCTGCTTGTATAATGTATTTATTTTATTAGGAATGATGTATTTTGTATTTTATAAAACTGAAAACGGGCAAGAGTCTGGAAACACAAATATATTTTCATACACTCATTTTCTTTTTTCCATAATTATCCAGACCTGGAAGTTACTAAAATCAAGACAACATTTATTGTGTGTAAAAATGAGTTTCATACCAGAAGTCTCTGCTGACGTGCCCTGAATCAGATTAAACACGTTTCCACAGGCTTTGCTGATGGCAGCCATCTTGGCTATAATTGGTAGGTTGTGGATGACGAAGGCCACTTCGTTTCGTTGCTGTGCTGCCAGGTTGTTGGCGTGCCCCAACAACCCAAAACCTGTCACGTCTGTTGCAGCATGAGCCTGGAACTTGTGCATTAGGCCTGCCGCTGGAGACATAAATTCATTAAATCATGTTACATCACTATTACAAAAAGTCACAGAGAGATTTCAACTTCAGCAGGACCAAAATCATCTATAAAGTAAGCCAATGCATGTTGAGGTTATCACCCACCCCACTCATGACTAAATTAAAGCCCATAATGCTGGAAATAAACTCAAATCAATGGTGTGGAACCACATAGAGCCAGACATTACAGAATCTCTCAGCTGTAACTGAGAAGGTAAATATGTTTCCACAGGTGTAGTGTACCTGTACGGTTTAGCGTTGCCATGGAGAACATGGCTTCCTGATAGGCCTCTTTAACTTCCTCTCTGGTGACGACTAGCTTGATCTTGTTCCACCTTTCAGGCTGGTGAGGTATGAAAACAGATACAGGAAGGCGCACATATGAGGAGGGTGAGAGCACACAAAAATGTCAATATAATAACAGCACACTAAATAATGTTTATGTGAGCGGAGTGGAGCAGCTGACCTGATCGAGCCATTGGTGAGCATTCACAGCGACCTGCGTCCCCAGAGGTTTAGTCAGAACCAAGACATCCCCTGGAACAGCACCATCTGGCCTGGAAAAACAAAGCACACGCATATCACTCCTGTCCATTATGGATTTATGGATTATTTTCTCAATTTTGTATATCTACAACATATTGGAAAATTGTGATTATAATTTCCAAGAAACTGCTTTTTTTTTAATCTGACCAATAGT